CTCTGGACATCTTGGCCTAGTCAAGTTGACACAGAACCCTAACAATTACATCTTATATTTCACAAATGAACAACAAAAAAATATTTGATGTACACATACAAAATAAAACAAAAAATATATATTCATTTAAATGTTCAAAGGGCACATTCTACAAGCCAGCTTCCTGTCCGTAGGCACATAGCCTTACTCAGACCATGGGCCTACTGTTCATAGCTGCTCTGTCTTTCCATGCCTTTGTTGCCATTTCTGCTGCCTCTGATTTTCCAGGCAGGGATCCCACGCTCTATTCATGCTCTTCCTTAATGATGGTCCTCGGATCATATGTCCTGAAATGAAAGATAACTACTCCCCACTTTTAGTTTTACATCTTCTACAATTACAGTTTTGACAATCACAATTAATCATACTAACAATTACTCACAATTGAAAGAATAAAATCCTATCAGCATCATCTTCCTCCCCCTTTCACCAGACCTATCTGGAAAACTATTCAGTGGAGATTCTCCTTTGTTCCCTCATTCTAAAACTAAACACACCCATGAAAGCTTGTAAGCCAGCAACTCCACGCTTTTAAGATGTTTTGTTAAGTGCCGTAGAGTCAGTTCCAACTCATAGTGACCCTGTAAAGGATTTCTGAGGAGTGGCAGGTGAGTTGGAACCACCAACATTGCTGTTCAGACTGATCTTGTGGTCCAATGCATTATCCTGCAGTGCCACACAGGACTCCCCCCATTTTATATATCCAATGTCTAAGTTTTCTATCCATATCAACCCAGTGCATTGAGGATGCAAGCATGTTCCTTGATATAAAGAATTTTACATTCCAATTGGAATTTTGAGCAATTGCATCCATAAGTAAAAGTCCAGCTCATAAAACTGTAGCAATTGACACTTACTCACACTATTAAACATCTGTATCTTCATTTAATGAGGTTCTGGTCAGCTCAACCTTAGCCATCAGAGCTAGGTCAAATGGGTACCAGCTACAAGTTTGGGAGTTCACACACCTCCCTGCACTTCAAATCAGCTAACCAGAACCTTTACTCTTAGTCCTAGGCCCCATAGCTTATGGCTCAGGAGTTCACACAATTCCCTAACTTCAGACCAGCAAGCCTTCTCTCTCCTCTTATCTCAAAGTCAATGGGTGCCAATACAACATATCCAGACTCAGCCTGTATCTTCATTGCTGTATATCCCCCAATTCCACTCACAGGTAAACCCAGGTGGTCATCAGCAAGCATAAGGCTCATAGTCTCTTCAACATTCAGTCCTAGAAGGGGGTTTTCTCTGATGGGCTGACTTTCCTTGCCTTGATGCCTTCAAAACTCAAAACACCAAGCTGTCCACTTCTTTTCTCTGCTTGAATCTCCAGTTCTTCCAGCAGTTCTGGGTTGGTCTGCATGTCTTTTCAAATGCAAATGTCCCAACTCTGAAGGTTCTGAGTGGGGGTCAGGATTCCACCTAATGCCCCATACTCTACAAAGATTTAAAGCGAAAAGCATATTTTTTCTGGGAAAATTCTAACTCTTCTTTTAGAAAATCCAATCAAGTATAGGCTGAAGGCAAGCTTACAAGCTCTCTGTAACTATCACACCCAATATTCATTTCTGTTACATATGTATGTCTATTTTACAATAACAGACAGGAGAAACCAACATCCATAAGGCAGTCAAACAAGTAAACTTTTTCAAACACTCAAGTTCAATCTTTGCTTCTACCTTTGACCAACCCCATTCATATGCATGTGGCCTTGGGCCTCTGGCAGGGTGGATTTCAGTAGGCCCTGACTCATATCAGCCCTGTTTAACCATGTCATTACCTCTAGGCAACTCCAGAAGCTGCCACTCTCCCCACTTAGAGATTTTGTCCCATGTCCCTTCGTTCTTTCTCTTACAAAACCTCATAATTTCATAGGCCTGAAGCCATTGCAGTGAGTCCTGCTCACAGTGCCAACTGCTTAAACCAAGTGGGGACCATGTCTGATTTTCTTTGACTCCACAAGAGAGAAAGAAGACCAAATTCAAAATCAGCCCAAGACTGAGTCCTATGAAGTGGCAGTAAGACATGCCTCCACCCTATCTCAGTGCCTTTAAAATGCGCCAGAATTGAGAATCAATATGCAGGTCTGGGCAGGTGAGGGTGGAGTAGGAGATTCTAGAGTTGGTGGTCCAGGGAAGAGGTGGGACAATTGGGGAGGGAAACATGATTAGACTTTGCTTTTTGCCTCTTCTCAGGCCTCTATCAAAATGTGGAGTCCAAGTCCTTGGGCAGCATATGTCCTTCTACTTCCTGTGGCTGTCCCTCAGGTGTACTGTAGACCAGTCTCTTCCGAGACAGGGATGTGGATTGACTTTTGGTGTTTACAGAGATGAAGGATTGTTTGGAGTTCAAGGTAGAAAGATGTTTCTGACTGACTGGTACTATTTGAGCCTATCAGAGTGGGAGTGGGTAGGACCCTGCCATTGGGCTGACTTGCTGTTATGTTGTTAAGTGCTGTTGAGTTCGTTTTGATTCAAAGCAACCCTGTATGGGGTTTCTGAGGAATTGCTGATGGGTTTGAACTGCCGACCTTGTGGTTGCAGTCCAGTGCTTATCCTACAGTGCCACACTAAGAATCCCTCCATGGTTCAGTGTCCACAAATTTCCAGTGACCTGGGTGTCCAGGCTACCTACATTACAAGTCCCTGTCTCCCACCCTACCTCACACCTGCAGTGAGCCAGAATCCGACAAAGAGGAGTGAAGGCCCCAAATGAACACAACAACCAGAGAAGGGCTGAGCAGCTTCAGAGGGAGTGGGAGTCAGGACCCCTGGAGACTGTGGAGAGCTGAGGCTCCTGTTTTGCATGAGGCCAGGAGGGGGAGCTGCTCTCTGCATTGGGAGCAATAGAACTTCCACTTCCTCATATCTCTGTATCTCTCTCTCACATACATAAACATAAAAGGGGGCTTCAAAAAGATGGGAGTAATGAGTTTAAAAAACAAAGGAAGTTTTCCATGAACTTTCTGAAGCTCCCTCACACAAGTCAGAACTGACTCAACAGCACTTAACAACAGTCACCCTGGAAACCCAGGAGCATCTAAGTCAGGGCTCCTGCCAAGACTTGATCAAGGGGCTTTGAACTGGTGTCCCGGACTGGTGTCCCGTGGTGAGAGGTTTGGACTTGTGCTGTGAACTGAGCGGCCTGGACACTGTGCTCACCTGGGACAATGAGTATACACGGGAGTACCTTCTTTTTGCTTCCCTTGGACATGGTGGGACCCACCAAGCCCTTCTGCTAGTGGCTTTGTGGAGAGAAGAACTGTACTCTCCACTCTGCTGTAGACATCTGCAGAAAGGCTCTGCAAAGAACAAGCTATTCAATTCTACTGATTTCTTTTCTCTTTCTGAACTCCATCCCAGTGCGTGTGGTAGGATCAATGTTGCAAGTCTAGTTCTTGGCCAGAGCCCAAGTGATTGTCATGTCTGTGTAGGGGGACCAGGCATTGCAGGAAGAGGGGTAGTGTATATATTTGACTTTCCAACACCCCCTTCAGAATTCTACCTCCACCCTACATTGATCCCTCTTCTTTCTGATTCTGGCCACACAGGACTTCTATTGTGAAGGTAGGGAGGAGACCAGAGGCTGGAAGTGGCACTTGGCCCTACCCTTCTGGACTATTTTCCAGGAAAGACTCTGGGACCCTAGTGGGTGGAGCTTTGCAGACCTCAGACTCTGCCCTTTTCACCTTTCTCCAGCCTGATTGTTGTTAAGTGCCGTTGAATCAGTTCTGATTCACAGTGGCACTGTATACGGTTTCCAAGGAGTGGCTGGTGAGTTTGAACCGTCAACCCTACTGTTCAAACTGACCTTGAGGCGCAGTGCATATCCTACAGCACCACACCAGAACTTCTTGCTGGTCTTTAAGTAGAAAATCCCTATAATCAGTCCTGCTGGTTTCCCCACTACTGTCTCTTATCTTCATCCCCACTGTCCTTCATCTCATCTTTCTATCCTTTGGCCGCGCTTTCTCTTCCTGTTTAATTTTCTGGTGTATTTACTGCCTGTGTATTTGCAGATGTGATGCCTAGTCACTGCTCTCCCCGAGTCTGGAGACTGAAGCTCCAGCTGGCCAGCACTGGACAAAGGCTGCTCCATGTCTCTTTCCCAACATGGAGGATGGAAGTATAACATAGTCAGGGTTTGCTCAGATGTTTGTAAACATGGAATCAGGTTAGCCCAGTGTGGGTGGGTGATGTGATGGGAAATCCGAGGATCTCTGGCAGTGGGTTAAGTGTTGGGCTGCTACCCGCAATGCCGACAGTTTAAACCTATTAGCTGCTCTGTGGGAGAAAGATGAGGCTGCTCTTTTTTAAAATCTACAGTCTCAAAAACCCTATGGAAGTAGTTCTACCCAGTCTTACAGGATATCAGTGAGTGGGAATCAACTGGATAGCAGGGAGTTTGATTTTGACTCCCACTGAGGTGAGCAGCTCCCCCTGCTGTCTGCAGGGAAAACAGCCGTTCCAGCTGCTCACAGTCTCAGTCAGCCTGGGTTGGAGATGACAATGGATGAGGGTATGCCTTGGTCCTGGATCTGTGGAGCACATAGAAATTACTTGAGAAAAAGGATAAAGAAATGGAGGAAAGGAGCTACCAGTAGCTCCTGTTCAAATTTTTGAGCCCCAGTCACAGTTTTATAAATGGTTCACCAGGATTGATTTTTATTGAATCCTCAAATGTCCAAAGCTGAGTTGTTTTCTTGGAAGGAAAGTAAGGAACCACGTGAGTCACACATTCATTCAGACTTTGAACTCACTGTGTGGTAGCTATTACAGGGCAGTGGAGTGTGGAAAGGAAGGACTTTGGTTTGGGGGGCTGCGAGTTACAGATTAACATGATGAGAGGGGAAGCTGGGGAAATGGAAAGTAGCCTGAGGAAGAAACGTTCAGGGGGGACAATGTCGGTTTGAAGGGGGCCTATAGGGGTCCTGTTTAGAGCAGGCTCTCAGCTCCTCTGGGCTATCTGACCTTCCTGAAGACCTGCTCACACACCGCCTCCCTGGCAGTCAGTTCCTGGGGAGAGAGTAGAGAGATGAGGTCAGAGGATGAGGGTTCTTACCAGCCAGAGCTCCTTTTCCAAGGTCCCTGACCTTTTTAGTTCTTCAGGATATATTGGTTTGGGAATTTGATATATGAGGCATTGTATCACTGTTCCAAACTCTCAACTTTTCACCCCAGAGGAAGGAAGCTAGATAAGGGAATGGGAATGGCTAAACCTTGATTTCTCCAGTCATGGTTATGGGCAGTCATGAGGACCTCCCTTAGCCACTCCATTTCTTCTTTTCCCTACCCTTCTCAGTCCTTTTGTTTTTCTTTTTTGGTGGTCTTCCTTGGGGAAGGGGTGAGGTGGGGGAGCAGACTTATTTGGTTTGTGCAAGGGGCTGCATCCTAGCTGGAGGCCCTCTCCCAGACACCCCCAATTGTGTCTCCCCTCCCACCCTCACCCAGCTCACCAGATACAACTTCTCTCCCTCCAGCCAGTGTCTCCAGCCCCGGTTGGGGACCTCCCCTTTCTGTACACACACCAGCTGCTCCTCCTCCCAGGTTACTATGGTCTACAGGGGAAGGTCCAAATGAAGAAAGTTTGGGAGGCAGCTCTGGATATACATCTCAGCTTACCCCAGCTGTCCGTTTCACTCCACAGGAGACACATTCCGAGTCAGCAGGCCTTCTGTCTTCTGCTCCCACAGGCCACGAAAGGACCACAGTTCTTCTACAGTGACAACTGGAATACCTGGGCCTCAAATGATGAGGGAAACTGGGGGTAGGGCAGAGTTGTTGTTGTTGTGAAGTGCTGTAAGTCGGTTCCGACCCATAGCGACCCTATATAGTGTTTCCGAGGAGCAGCTAGTCAGCTTGAACCACCAACCTTGCAGTTCAAATGGCTTTGCCGCGTTAACCCACAGAGCCACACCAGGACTCCTTTTAGGGTAGAGTTGTTGGGGCAAAATTGGGAGAGTGAAATGGAAACTTTGTCCTCTGGTGACTTTTGCCTGATCTGCTTTTGGGAAAGAAGAAAGATTCTTGGGAGCCGTGTCAGAGTATTTACTGACCCTCTAGCTTTTCAAGGATCAGTAAATATTTATCTATGATACCAGGCAAGCGTGTTGAGGATGGGAATGAGGAGGGAAGAGCTGAGTCTCCAAGGAAGTGAGATATTAGTTAGGTTGGAGATGATGGGAGATTTCTAGCAAGGAATGAAACAGCATAGAAGTAAGAGAGAAAGGTAATCCTGCAGGGCTCTAACCTAGAGTGTGTGTGGGAAAGATAGATGAGGAGCCGGGCATGTTAAGCAGATGAACCTTATCTAGAATGCAAGAGATTGTCACTAGGAGGGTTTGAGTCAGGGACTGACAGGGTCACATTTACACTTTGGCTACATGCTGTGGCTACAACATGCATACTGGATTAGAGGAGGGTTAAGACTGGTGGCCAAGTTGGGCAGCAGGTGGGAAATGAGGACCTGAATTAAGAAAATGATAATGAGGATGCTTACGAACAGGTGAGAGCCATCTAGAAACCATGGTTTTCAATGGAAATATAATGTGAGTCACAGATGTAGTCACATATAATTTGACATTTTCTAGTATTTCTATTAGAAAAGTAAAAAAAAAATGAGTAAAATAAATTTTAATAATGTATTATGTTTAACCTAAAAGATCTAATAATATACTATATTTATCCTAAAATATCTAAAATATTATCATTTCAGCATGCAATCAATCAATATAAAGATTTCTAATGGGATATTTGGAGTCCTGGTATGGTGCTGTGGGTTAATGCATCAGACTGCAAAGCCATTTGAACTGCAAGGTCAGAGGTTCAAGCTCACCAGCTGCTCCTGGGAAACCCTATACAGGGTTTCTATGGGTCAGAATTGACTCAACGGCACTCAACAACAACAACAACAATGGGACTTTTTTTGGGTATTTTCTTCAAAATATTGTGTATTTTACATGTGGCTAATAGCAATGTTGTTGTTGCTGTTAAAAGTGCCGTCAAGTTGGTTCCGACCCATAGCAACCCTTTATAGGGTTTCCGAGGAGCAGCTGGTGAGCTTGAACTGCTGACCTTGCAGTTCAAACGCCTTTGCAGTCTGGCGCATTATGATAGTAGCTATTATGTTGGACAGTGCACAAAGGTAATAAAGACTTCTTGACTAGTTAGATCTGGGGTGTTCGTGCCTGTGTTGGAGGCACAGAGGTAAGAGCACAAGTGATACTGAACGTGACTCCCAGGTCTTTAGTTTGATGGCTGGTTATTGCTCTTAAAGGGTGACAGTAAATATAAAAGGAGGAAGTGGTTTGTGTAGAAAGATAATAAATTTGGGATTGACCTTGGGCAAACACATGGAAATATCTTACAGGTACTTCAAAGCACCAGCCTGGAGCTCAGGAGAGCTTTGGCTGAAGGATATATGTCATGCATGTCAAGGGCAGTTTATATAGGTGGGAGTTGAAAGTATTCGTGTAGGTGATTTAGCCCGTGGATGGTGTATAGAGAAGATTGAGAAAGTCAAGGACAATACACTGGGAAAAAAAACCCCATTTAAGGGATTAATATGGGAACTAAGGTCTGCAAAGGTGACCCAGAAAGAACACCAGAGAGCTAGGAGGGTGGGGTTACTCAGGCAACTGGAAAAGAGTAAATGTTTGCTCACTGCCTGGAACTGACCTGCTCTTTAGCCCTTTTGGCTGGTGATGAGAGAGGCAGGGAAGAAGAGGAAAGAGAGAGAGAGAGAGAGAGAGAGAGAGAGAGAGAGAGAGAGAGAGAG